AGAAACTAAGTGAATCTTTTAAAATAGTTTATATTATTGACTGATTAAGTAAATAACTAGAAGGGGTTTTGTGGAAATTGTAATAATTTCAATAGTTGAAATCATGAGTCAATTAAAGCTAGACCACCATGGAAAACCTGGAAGCATTAGACGGTTGTTTCTTCCTAGTATAGGACTCCTCAACAATGCTCAACCACGATCTCGTTCACCCCCCGCAAGATTCGAACCCAGGACCTATCAGTCTCACGCGTGAGCGCCTAACGATTAGACCACTGAGACGGCATTCGACGAGGTTAATATTTAACTTCAACCAATCTACGAAACTGCGCCACCGTACATGATTGTCTTCGGTGAGCTGACATCTCACAACAGGCCTGTTTGAACTCCACTGGTCACGGTTTCTCAATAGAACTCCAGGAAATACCTCTTGAAGTCAGTCACTAGTGATTAGATGATTATTATTAGAATGGGTTTTGTGGAGATTTTAGTAATTTCAATAGTTATTTGCTCAAGTTTGTCATTAGCTGACAGTGAGACTACATGCTAGTTCCATACACAGTATTCCGAACTTTTAGGTTCCGTAGTGAATTTATTTTATTTAAACTAATTACTCGCAATTCAACTTTTTGCAATTTCAATATCATTCAGTATACAATATCACAAAATCATTGTATATTAACATTAGTATTACTTAATCTTACTCTTGATGATGAACTCTCTAGATGGATTTCATTAATTCCACACTAGGAAGAATTAAATGTCTAACATTTACTGCTTTTCAATAATCGTTTACCTCAATCCAGTATGTATCATGATTTCCCTGCATTTTAAATATTTTCCACTGTCTTTACTAAATTATGAGAAGTATTTCTTTTAAATCACGAACTGATTAATATCAGACCACCATTGAAAACCTGGAAGCATTAGTCGGTCGTTTCGTCCTAGTGTAGGACTCCTCTGTAGTGCTGATTAATAACCCAGCACGCAGGCATCGAATACAGGACTTTCGACAGCTTACGAGTGTCTAACACTAATCAATCCACGATATTGTCCGACTATTTTTCATTATCTCCGATGGGTAACTGCCTTACAAGTTAGACATTAACATCATTGTACCCCGACTCAGTGGTCTACAGACTAAGCATTTGTGCGAGACCGAATCTCCTGGGTTAGATTCTTGCATGCATAGTTGTGAGTGAGCACTTTTCAGTGATCCAAAACGTAGGGTGAAACAGCCCTTTAGTGCTTCCATGTTTACAATGCTTGTCTGACACCAATTAACTCACGATTTTAATGAAACTCAACAATCTCCACAACCCCATACTATCGAACAAATATTTGTTGACATATTTTGATATTAATGGTTATTATCTCCTAAAATATATCTACTTCATATTCTTAATCTACATTTAGTATACAGTATTAGTTAAAATCTTGAATTCCACAATGAGATAAATATTACATTACAAGAAATGGAGATAGGTTCCAATACTTTCAATATTGTATGACTTTTTTAAATGTCATTAAACGAACTTTGTGTCATCTTTATTTATAAAGCTGATGTGTTGGTTATTGAGACTCATAAAATGACTGATTACGGTTATCGAATCTTAAATAAATTAAAACGGATATTCGGTTCAGATAAATTTAACTTCCTTTGAAGTCTACATGAGAGAATAAGGCGATAGTATAACCTACGAACGAACCAATCAGATATAAGATAACAGGTCTTGGATTTTGTCGCGAAATTGATTCATCTATTTGTCGAAATAACGTTTTAGCATTTTGGATTATGTCGGTTCGTAATGAAAACCCTAAATTTGATTCCTAACCCTAACCTTCAACACTGCTTTATAACTCTCATTTAGTTCTAGTTAGTAGGCGGACATTCTCAAGATGACTTTAACATCGCTCAAAGGTCGTTCATAAATTATAACCTCACCGTGAATTATTTAGTAGACCACAGATATAGTTATTACTATCAATCATTATTAGTTTATTCCATATAGTAATTTCACATAATTACAACACTATATTGAATGTTGTGTTCAATTATGTAAAATAAATTATTGATCTAGTGAAGTTTTATTTCATATAACTACATATATTGTCATTTAAAAATTCTGAATACTATGATAATCACTAAGTGTGTTAGTTTAACACACATTGTAATAGTGAAAATCGTGTAAACCTATGAATTAGGAAATTGATATGAGACAACAACAAAGAGAAAACAATCATCATAACCGGTAAAATTAGTTAGGTAAATAAATAAATATTTCAGAAGGGGTTTTTATGGATGTTATAGTAATTTCAATAGTGGAAATCATGAGTCATTTGAAGCTAAACCACCATGGAAAGCCGGGATGCACTGGGTGGCCGTTTCATCCTATTGTTGGACTCCTCAACAATGCGCATCCATGATCCCGTCCTGTGGGATTCGAACCCAGGATCTATCAGTCTCGCGCGCGCGAGCGCTTAACCATTAGACCACTGAGCCGTCTGGCATCCAACGGTTTTAATGTCCAACTTCAACTAGTCCACAAAATTGAGCAACACATCCACCATTGTCTTCAGTCATTTACTATCTCACAGCAGACCCTGTTGAACTCCACTAGTCACTACTTCTCAATACAACTCCAGAATATACCTCATAAAGCCACTCATTAGTGAGCATATATTGATAAATAAATATTTTTCAAAAATATTTCATGAAAAAGGTCAATCTATTCATTGTTAAAAAGTAAAAAATAAATAATACAACCAAATAATTGCACACATTTTCATGTGTTTATCAGTGATCTATTTATTTTCTGTCTGATACCTGGTGCTATCACTACTACTACTACTACTATTGAGTAGTGGATTAGCCTTAAAATAGATATGGTAATTTTAAGAAATACAAGTGTTAAGAATTTCATAATTCAAGAATAATGATACTATTTTTCATTCTACTTAATAAACGATAAGTTTTACACAATGAATCAACCAACCTATTCCTCGATGATGATGATGATGATAATATTAATAATATATAGATAATTTAAATATTTAAGAATTCATGCTTCAGAATGTCTCAAAGTTCCCTTCTTATCATAAATATGTTTCATATTGAAATAGTGTGTAGTAGTTGTTTATCTAACTTGATTATTACGTTTTACATAGAATATAGTTAGAATATTTATATCTATAGTCATATATTGTATTATTTCATTTAAATTTATCTGTTTTATACTAGATATTCCCGTTTAGATTCCAGAATAATAAATAATCATGAATTCACAGTATACACACTAAATACTTGATGAATGTCAGTGTCATTCAGTTAGTCAGTAACAACGTAGAACTTCTTATGTACGTACATCAATGTAGTATTATTAATATTAAATTAATGAGTAGCCTACATATAAGTTAATAATTAACTAATTAAGATGAAAATCTAAATCGGATGATTTTCACTTATAGTTATTTTTATAAACTATGAAGTATGAGGTTAATAAATATGTTACAATATTTATTGTATAATTTTCAGGTCTATTATGAAATCAATTAAATAATTCCATAATAATTGATTGTTTGAATCTTGTCATTGATGTTTAAGACTGGAATTAATCAGTCTCTTATTGACATATGTGTATCTTGAAAGGATTGCCTCGAGATTACGTTAAGTCACAAGCATTATAAGTAGAAAATGAATGGTAGCTAGTAGTGAAATCCAGTACGCATCTAGAGTTTTGAAGTGAACATGAACTTCGGGATGTAGGCATATTTAGCTGACGAGTCGTAAATAGGATGAAATGCGCTTCTCGGATTTCACGACTAACTACCATCTATCTCTTCTTATAAACAATTATTGCCTATAAAAAAAAACCTATAATATAGAAATAAAAGGAGATTTTTCAATGAAATTTCATAAACAAATTAAATTTCCTAGTCAGTATGAATGAACAATTCAAAATATAAGTCTTAGTAAGTGTACTTGTTACACAAAACGACCATATCATCTATACATTTGTAATATAAAAATTATCCAACGATTTTATTATGCAATCACTCGTATTCTATCTTCACTATAAATATGTAAGTGAAGAATAGTTATCATAAAGTACTCATTATTATTTCTATCAAATAATGTAAAACTACAAAATCAAGAACATTGTGAATAAAATTGCTTTTTATAGAACGCGTGTAAATACTTCTAACCATAATCGATTATTATTCAAAATAATTAAACGAGCACTGAATATAATCAACATATAAACTAACAATTTATTTAACCAGGTACAACAAGCATAAATCAGAAACATGAAGAAGCATAAGATAATCAAACAGTCAGTCAGTCAGTCAGTTAACAACAACAACGTAGGACTTTGTACATACGTACATCTGTTCGAGTTGCCATACCACATTAGCACACAGATACAATTGTTAATTCAAATCCTATAGTGGTAGAGGTAGTAAAAGTATAAACAGTAATCGGAAACATTAGGCTTTGAAGATGTTATTCAAGGAGTATAATCCAGTGAAATAAATTTGGAAAGTGAAAAACAGTGGACATGAGGAATTCAAAAGATTAGAATTTCAGAGAACACAAAGAGTGGATGCATCTGCGCCATTGCAAACGATTTTGAGTAATGTCATTCAAAGTCTCTAACCATCAGTTACTATTGTCTCGCAGATCCCAATCAGATAGTTTACATCTACTAACATGGCTTAGTTCATTTATTAGTGACTTCATGAATTTGTGCCATGTTTTGGTCTAACCGCCTCCTAACTTTTTTCCAACCTACTTCTACACCATAAAACATCACACATCAGAACAGTCAATGGTTAGGCATACATAACACATGTTCCAGCCATTTCAACTGATAAAGTTTCACTAATTCATCATCAGTAAATAAACTATGCTAAACAAAATCATAGAAATAAACAATTATTATATGATCAACTATAATATACATATTCATTTATTCATTTATCAATTCAATACAAATACTTACTTTTTAACTGGTTTTCTTATTTCCAGTTCCATTATTATTGTATGTATATATATATATATATATATATATAAATAAGTAGTTAGATGTGAGTAGATACTTTCTTTTCTCGAAAAAAAGATTTTACTACTGATAATACAAATATTGTATACTGATGAATATTATTAAACAATTAATTAGATTGTTATTGTTTTCAATTTCAAACAAAGATAGAATATACATCGTATTTATACTGATTTATTTAATCAGTAATGAGTTATTTTTACATCTAAATAAATAAAAGAAAAAAAAACAAACAAAAAAGAAAACAATCATTTTGTTTGAGTTATACAAGTAATAAAACTTGTAAAAAGAAAAACAATACATCTTCATAGATAGATTATACTTAAACAAAATAATAGATACACCTAGGTTAGGATTAAACTAATCATTCCTTACTGTAGATTTTGTATATACCTAAAACAATGAGATTATCTCATGTTGATGGTATTACATTAGTATTATGTAATTAGATATGAATAATAATAATAATAATAATAATAACAATAGTAATTAAAACTTCCATTGTTATCTCGGTTGTATATTTATATATAAACACAAATCATAAGTGAAATACTCTAAGATCATATGAGATGTTTTAGGTTTCATAAATATAATTTTTGACTGGATTATTTCAATTAAATAATCTATTGAATGTTTCCAAGGGATTATAATTAAAGTAGAAAAAGAAATGAAATAATTTGGGTGTCAACATACAGAATATGATAAGAAAAAAAACTTATTGTATTATTTTTTTTAAATAAAAAAGGAAAGAAAAACGATAGTTGAATAAAGAAAACTTTCTGTTTGAAATTATCATTTATTTAAGCTGTTTAATTGTATTTTATAGTGATGTAATAAATATGAGAGTTTTCTGGGAGAATAGAAAGAAATCATGTCATAAGTGTTCGGAAACTTTTAGTAACACAAAAAACATGACGTAATAATTTAAAGTGAGCTAGATAAAATAATTTTCCAATTAAAAATACAAATATAATTGTCCATTTGACAGATATAACGAAGAAAAATAAAACTGATGATAACAACTAAATATTATTTCAATAGTTGAGATCATGAGTCAATTGAAGCTAGATCACTATGGAAAACCTGAAGGCACTGAACGGTTGTTTCGTCCTATTGTGGGACTCCTCATCAGTGTGCATCCACTATCTCGCTACGGGAGATTCGAACCCAGGACCTATCAGTCTTGTTTGCGAGCGCTTAGCCACTAGACCACTGAGCCGGCATCCAATGGTGTTAACGTTTAACTTCAACTAATCTAGTGGGTAAGCGCTCGCGCACGACTGATGGGTCCTGGGTTCGAATCCCGCGAGGCGGGCTCTGGATCCGCACTGCTGAGGAGTCCCACAATAGGACGAAACGGCTATATATATATATATATATATATATATATAGTAATCATCTTTATTCATATAGCTGACCCAATACCTTTACCCAGATTTATCTCAATCAAATTTTCACAGACATAAAAGTACTTTCACAAAGTATTTTCATCAAGAGAACCTGTGCAATATTTGAAATCTCTGATCTTTTTTTCTTTACACTTCTCAATATCAGATCATTTTTTTGAATTCATGTTTATCTCCTGTTAACTGTTCCCAATTCGCTTTTTTTTACTAAATGTAAGTGTATTCTTCTACCAAGTCAGTATCCAAAACGTTTACGCATATTTTTATTTTACTAAATCTAATACAAACACTGTCCCAACAATTAGAAAGTTATCAATTAAATAGAAACTTATCAACATCTAAGCATTATAGTAAGTGAACGAAAAATAAAACAGACTAAGTAAATCAGAAATTATACTACACTAAATGTGTATTTACAATCTATTCTAAAATACTATTTCAAATCAATCACATTAATTACATTATCTTATTGTTCAGCTCAACATGATCTAGTCAATCAGATCAAGAACAAAACAAGTCTATGTAATAAAACTGGAAAAAAACAAATTAGATGTAAATACAATTGAAGAAATAAAAAATATTTTCAAAGCTCTATCATAAGATATTCATATTAAGATGTTCTGATTTCATTTTGGTATGAGTATACTTGAAGAAAACAGAAAAATAAAACAGTTTCTTGACATGGGAAAAATTAAAATTGGGAAACAAGAAATGACAATGTCTAGTACACTTCTTTAAGTTTGACAGTATTGGTTATTATTAGTATGTGTTTGTGATGACTTTAGAATTCTTTCGAGATCATTAACCGATCTAGGTTAGACAACCACTGAAAAATTGGAAGAACTGGACAGCTGTCTCGTCCTAATCTGAAACTCCTCAACAGTGCTCATTTATGATCCTACAACCACGGACCAAACGCAAGATCTTCGGCCTTGCGAGTGAGCGCTTAACTTCTGACCTACTGAGTCGACACCCAATGAGATACAATTTTAAGTAAAACCATTGCGTTCTTTCGCTCGATAATTTTTTTACTGTCTCCAGTGGGGAAGTTCCTCATAATTAACACGATTAAACTGCATTGGTCTTGGCTTTTCACCGATGCTGAAAAAACCTCCGATCGTAGCTAGACACGAGTGAGCACATGACAAACGTCAGTTTGGTGTTCTGAAGATTTTTTAATTTTGTTGAGATCACGAACCGGTTATTGATTGACTGATTTCATCTCAGTTTGTCTTTTCAGAATTTAAATGCAGAAAAGTTAAAAAAAATTAAAATACAGAAAACATCGCAAACTTGTTTAGTCTTTCGTGATGATGGTCGGATATATAACACGCGTATTTTTAAAAATTCACGACTTGTTAGCAACTATATATATAGTATTTATGTATGCCGCGACATACATTTTCAGTTTAGCTTGTTAACAGATATGTCAGACGAAAAAGGACTTACCTAAGGTAACAAACCTAATAATCGAAACCCAATAATTTGGGATGAAACTGAAGAAGCTTGTTTTCTATCCTTCTTTATTAATAATAGTTAACTATTATGTACTGCGTAATGAGTCAGTGCAAAGTGATTAAAAATGCACACACTATAGCAAACTAAATTAAAATACATATTACATATCTACAAACCACCCTATTCATCTTTTTCAGCTTACAAGATACCTTTGTATACGTCATATAGTGCATTCGGACATTTAGAATGCAAAGTACAACTATATGCGCTTGGCCGTGAAATGAAAAAATATTCAACATTTTTTAATTAAAAGACTTAATATACTAACTAAATCAAAAGAAAAAGATACGACACTTTATGTTTACATAGCTACGGAAAAAATAGGCGTGATATATATCCACCCGATGATGATGAACGAATGTAACTACACTAATCCAGAATTAGTTTAAATCGTATAACCTAAAGTTTTCAAAAACACCGATTTATAGTGTGTTTCAGTTTAGGCAATCAACTTTCAGTAAATTTTGAACATTAAAGCAGTAACACAAGATTTCAAGAAGATTACTTACTAGACAAACTGGTAGACAAATTGGTTCATGGTTTTTACCTTCCAATTGACATCGTTTACTTAGTTTGTGTTATTAAACATTTCACACAGTATACCATTTTTATATTTCTTGAAATATGTCGGACTGAGTCAAAAACTTTAAGGTAATCACTTATTACTTGTATTCTGACTCTGGTTTATCTTATGGTTCCGACGTATAGTTGGCCGATAAAACAAACAAAATACAAGCTAGTCACTTTATGTATTCCGTATGAATTTATTCATTGGATTGTGTTTTTTATCCGGCATATTGAGCTACATTAAACCTAAACGTTCATTAGATACGGTTGACAGTAACTCCAGATCTTTAAAATGAAATCGTTATTGAAAACAACGCTTCAATAAATATCACTTATATGTTAAATGAACTAAGAAATGAATGAAAATTCCACATATATTAAACAATGAGGTTATTTCTAATAAATCAGCACATATTTACTAAAAATATTTGTTTGTGGATATCAGGAAATAGTCTTGTGGAGAACTGTTTAAACCGTAAGTTGTATTCCATTCAAGTTAATTTCATTTAAAGTATCATTGAAAACCAGGACGAATTGGACACATGTTTAGTCTTAATAAGAAACTTCTTAATAATACTCATTCAAAACTCTGACAGAGATCGCATCCAGACCCTTCATATCTTGCGCTTTATGATTGATCATTAAAAACACTGCTTAGCGTTTATTGCTGAAGTGTCCCTCATTAAGACGAAACAACTGTCTAATGCTCCTTAGTTTTCACTTGTACCCTAACTGAAATGAATACAACACATAACCATTGTCAGCAACCGATCAATATGCAATCTCAATTCTCAAAAATCAATATCGATCACACACTAGTTGATTCTAGGAATAATCTTGTTTAACATACATGAGCAGCATACTATTTCAAGTGTTACCATCCTTTCATATACATATATATTGACATCAACTTTAAATAACTAATGTCATCTGACACGTTTATTAGGAATTCGGATCAATAAATATTAGGCGTGTATATATTACTAATACTACCATTATCAATATTTAATATTAATAAAATGGCACGATCTGCCTCAACTTGTCTCACAATGTACTGTGTTAGTATATATATATATATATATATATATATATATATATATATATATGCGGGATGTATATAAATATGTACTTATATCTATGTGCTTTTGTTTGTGTATAGAATATATAGAATTAAATTAAATAGTGTTAGCAGTACCAGGATGTTGTGGTGTAGTGTATGTAAGTAGTATGAACATTATTCTCACACTGTAAATACATAATAATAAATAAATAAAATCATAGTGATTAATGTCGTATATATACCAGTGATTTTTTTCTAAAATTGTTTTTGTTAACTTAAATAAAAAAGAACTTTCTGAGGTGTTAAAATCTAAGGTTCGTCAAATAATACTCTGTTTTCAGTTTTGGATGATGTACACCAGTAAGCAGTGCAGTTCATCTGTGTTGAGTTTGCGGAAGGCACCCATCAAAGGTAATAAAAAAATTGATGCTATGCATGTATATCATCGAGTTTCGGCTCAGTTATTCAGAAATTAGGCGTTCGTGCTCAAGATCAGAGGTCCTGAGTTCGATCCACGGTCATAATATCATGGATGTGTACTAGTGAGAAGCCCCATGTTAGGAGGAAGTGGCCTTCCATTGGCTCTAGATTATCAGTGGTCGACTAAAGTAAATCAGTTCATCATCTCAATAAATTCTCTAATTGGTTTGATTGATCATAGAACGCTGAACTTGTTAGGAACTAAGGGATTATTTTCATCATAAAATAATCTCATTTACAAGAACAATTACAAATAGGGGGTGTTGGACAGAGGTGTAGTTCTGTTTTTCAACTCGCGAACATCGCTATACCTATGATCTTATATCCCCATGGACTTAATTAGTTCATATCTCACGACGGTTATGATAACACTGAGTCATTAAATT